AGAGAGAGAGAGAGAGAGAGAGAGAGAGAGAGAGAGAGAGAGAGAGAGAGAGAGAGAGAGAGAGTCCCGTTCGCCTCTTTGTCTCGTGTCCTTCTAGTGGGCCGCGGCATCACTGGGGTCGGTCCACTTGTTATTCAAATGAAAAGTTTGTTGCGTTAGGGTCATGCTGCAATTCTATTCTGGAGAGCTCCCGTTTCTGGAAAGGTTATCTGTGTAAGACACATTGTGCACTTGTATGTATGGGGATGCCCGTTTCAAAGTGAATGAACGTTATTGCGGCTTAGTGGCTTAGCATTCAGACTGAAGGTTGTTAAGGGAAGATAAAGGACTTCTTGGTGTTGGATGGAGGTTCTTGGTTAGGGGTTTAAGTAAGTTTGGTGGTAATGGAAACGCGTCCGATATCTTTGCATCTTCCAATAACCACTGTCAGCGAGTGTGGTCCTATGACAAGACAAAAAAAGAGTACTGCAATGAACTGGGTTCACAATCTGTGCAGACATAGGTCAGGGTCGTCACTATTCAGAGATCAAAAGTGGCGTCTTTTGTTTTAGAAGGGTCTGAGAAAAGTCCTAGGGTTAAAAGGGTATACGTCCAGGGTGAAACGAGGCAAGCTGATCCCCTAATCAAAGGCACAAGCTGTCTGCATTTGTTCCAGAAGATTCCTGGGCCTACTGGGTGCAGGCATGTTGAGGCCGACCGCAAATCTGGTCAAGGCACAGTGAGGCCGACAGGCATGTTGAGGCTGACCGAACTGGGAAATTTCACCGTCGGAGGAGGAGGCAAGCTGAGTCAGGCCAAGGCCACTCAACGCTACAAAACGGCAGCCAGCCCCAGCGCCTCCTTCATTCTGCTTCACACTGCTACAGTGCACGTGCTGGAGTGCATGTGGTACAGTGCGAGGCTACAGTGACTTGATACAGTGTGCTGCCGTAGTGAGTGCAATAGGAGGCAGGGAGGAAGGAGAGAACCACTGCAGCTAGAGGAGAGAGAGAGAGAGAGAGAGAGAGAGAGAGAGAGAGGGTGATGACGACTCGTGAGTGGAGAGAGAGTGAGAGAGTGGGAAAGCTTTACTTTGACTTACCCGGGCGCTGGTGACGCTGGAGCGGACTCTGATCACGTCAGGAGGTTGAAGAAGGCTGGTGCCAACCTCTATAGTCAGCATTGATGCTGGTGGTTGGGCACCATAGCTGGTGCCTGCTGAGACTCCTGAGAGACTTCACCAGTGACTTCAGGGAGAGACTTGCTGTGCTGAGGTTGCGAGTTGGTGGAAGAAGGTCCCTAACGAGAAGAGGGGTGGAATGAGCGGATTCACTTGCAATTTTGATTATCGATGAAACGTTCCTCTCTCTCTCTCTCTCTCTCTCTCTCTCAATATCCTCTCTACCTTTGTCGTCTAGGTTCTGGTGACTCGCTGCTTCTTCTGGGACTACCGCGAGAGATTCTGGACTTGTGTTCTTCATTGTGAGGTATTCCAGTCGAGTATATTGGCGATGCTTGCGTGCTCCGCTTGTGAACTTTGTATAATTGACGGGCTCATCGCAGCACACAGTGCGATCACTTCATTCAACATGGCTGATGCAAAATGTCGCGGCTGAGTGCATACCGCTAATGCACAAACAAATGCCTTACACTTGCAGAAACGAACATACAACTATGGACTCTCTGACGACAAACTCTGATTGTGAACTCTGATTGTAAACTTGACTCTAAGCTCACAGAGTCACAACCCTAAACTTGTTTGTAATGTGTGTTGGCGGTGTGGTGGGTTGAATGCGATGCATGCAGAGCCGAATGGATCCGAAAAAGGACTGGAATGCAGTACACAACTTGGTAAATTTTACAGAGACGTTGACCGCACAGGAGTTGTCAGATCAGGAGGCAGGTTTTGTCTATCGCTATCGATACATGGGAGGAGCCCCTACGCAGGTGTGGCTGGCTGCGAATAGGTGCGTTCGTTGTGTGTTCCTTGCTCCAAAAAATGCATTGAAATGACAAGTTTGAGCCACTGCATTTTTTTTTGCAATATAGTTGCTATAGTATTGAAATAGGAATTATGGAGAAAAAGAAAAGAATGGACTTCAATGGAGGAAAGAAGTAGAATGACCAAAGGAGGAGGAGAAGAAGAAGAAAAAAGAGAAGAAGAGGAAGTCAGATAACGAGTTCTCTGCGCGTCTTCACTTGAATTCCCCCCATTCATTATTATTTTGTCCTCCTCTTTATTAAAGTTCATACACCAACGAGCAAGAATCAATATCTGTAGTAACCGCTTGAGAAAATACCCTCTCTCTCTCTCCCCCCCGACCACCACCACCAACTCTCATTTGACTCCTCTCTCCTCCAACTGTCACATGACACAACATGGTCAATGATGTGCAGTTCAAACTCAGCATGAAGCAGATGGAAGCCCTCAAGTTCTCTGTCTTGATGTCCGACACTTGAAGTCTGCTGTACTAGGAGTAGTAGGAGTATTGTCCCTGAACTACTATTGCAGGACAACGAGCATGAAAAAGCCGAGCTCCAAAGCTAACCCTCAAACACCTTGTCTATTGTCTCCCACCATGGACGGGAAAGCTTCCACCATAGCCAGGGAGCTACTGTTGCAGGCCAACGAGCATGAAGAAGTCAAGCGCCAAACCTAACCCTCGAACACCTTGTCTATTGCCTCCCACCATGGCCGGGAAAGCTCCCACCATAGCCAGGGAGCTCCCTCGTTATCGCCTCCTCTTTTCTTGATCCTGCACCCCAGCACTATCCTATTTGCTCCAAGCTGCACACCAGCATAATGGCCAAGCACTTGGGCAACAACGGTGTCCGATGTCAGGGCTCTGTCCGACAAGCAATGATGTCGGTCAGGAATCCCACTGGCCTACTGGACCCAAGTGCGCCAGCCTCCAGACTTTCCTACTGCCCTTGTAATGGCAGGAAATGATGGCTCTTCAGGTTGGTCCGAAGTACTGGTTATATCTGACCCTACCTTTGTCTGACTTGTCTGAGTTCCTTTGGTGCCGGAAATACCATGAGCAACACAATGGTGTTCAGAAGGGATGTTTTCTCTGCAACTGGAACACAATGAGCAACACGCTGGTGTTGCTGAAAACGCAAAACGATCACACAGCGTAACTTTGCCGACCTGTTTTCTTGAAACTACATGTGGAATTCCTGGTATCTTTACATTCCGCATCACAAGCATGTAGAATAAAATATAAAACTGCAATAGCTCCTACATGAACAACTTCGAAACCGTAGAAAAAAATGAGGGGAGAGAGAGAGAGAGAGAGAGAGAGAGAGAGAGAGAGAGAGAGAGAGAGAGAGAGAGAGAGAGATCCTCTCCTCTGGTGGAGAGAGACAGGGGTGTGGTTATGGTTTGATTCTTTGCCAGAGTGCTGCTCTCGCAGACAGAGCTGAGGCTACAACTGTTCGAGGCAATTTGCAGAAGGGGGAGATTATTTGATGGGAGAGGGAGATTAGCTCATTACCATTGCCATTTCTTTTCTTCTTCTTCTTCTTCTTCTTCCATCTACCTTCATCTGTGCATCATTGAGCGGGAAGGTCATCTTCTATATATGCTTCCTCCTCGCTGGTGTGGGAGGTGATTCTTTGCCGACATCGTTGTCTGGGTGTTTCGTACATGCTTTCACTTGTGTGCGTGCATTTATTTGACTGCCTCTTACTGTGCTGTTCTTCACACCCTTCCCCATATGATTAACCTTAGTTGTCCAGCATGTGTGACCGCTGATTTGATCATGCGACTTTCCCCAGAGGATGAAGCTTGGCTTTCCAGCATGTTCGGCCTCTGATTGGACACGCGGCCTTTTTGCTTGACATTTTGTCGTGGAAGGAATGTGGATGTGCAACATTTTTGCATGCCAGTTTGTCTTGGAATGAGTGTGCAATCTTGACCACCCTTTCGGTTGAACTTGTGTTCCACTGCACACTTTTTTACTCTTCCACGGCACAAGGGCGGCGACTACGGAACAATTGATATGTCTCTGCTTTTTTTAATTGCTTTGTCACTTGCTTTGCCTTTCCTTGTGGATTAGATATGTTGTTATTGACTTGTCCGCAGGCCCTGTCATCTACGGTAAGCTGGGTGCTGATGAAGGAGCTGTTTCGACGTTCACACTCCCTCGGATACGCCATGCTGTCCTCCCTCGGGCTCCGACCCCTGAATTGCGACACCCGTTCCCGAGGAAACACACCCCCCACACTTATGAGTACATGAGGGGCAAGATCGGGTATCTGGTTATGTCAGCGGTAGAGCATGTTTTTGCTGGAGATATCAGGTCAGTAACACTTCAACAGTATTCAATCTTATCCACTTTTTTTTTTTTTTTTTTTTTTTTTTGAGCAAAGAGAGGATTTGAATTTTGAATAGGGGCAGTGTTTTATCTTCCTAGTTAGGTAACACACGTAGGAGGCTTCTGATTGGGTGTGGTGGAGGGATGAATTACAGTAAAAGTGGTCTTATGATACCAAGTATTTTGGCTAAAATGGCAATCATATACAATTTCATTTTGTTTGTTGTTTTTTGAGATGTTGTACAAAGTGCTCTTGTACTCTTGTGGCGTCAATCAGTCGACATCCCGTGTGAGAATAATGCAGACATCTGGATGCGTGGTGGCTCTACTCTGTGAGTATGGTCATAAATCTGTTTCTCGTCTGAGGTTTTGTTTCACTTCGCGTTCCTGTTTCTGTCTATGTCCCTCCTTGTGACTCGTACCCGTCATTGCGTTCATCTCTTCATGAGAGGATGCGCGTGTGCCAGTACGTGTTTGTGTGTATGTGCATGGATGTGTGTGTGTGTGGGGAGGTGCATGTGTGTAGTACTTTGTGTGTCTCGGTGTGTGTGTGTGTGTGTGTGTGTGTGTGTGGATACTACACACAACATAGAGAACACGGAAACTGGAACAGACTGCATTCTTGGACTCGACCCACTCATCAGGAGGTTGAACCCTGACTGTATGCCCAGGATGCATTGGAGTGATGGATAAGGACTTTGCTACTTTGCCTGAAGTTAGCAAAAAATACCACTGAGTGAGAAAGTGGTTGGCTTTATTCATACCAACCCTGCAAACGTACCAGACTGTCTTGGTCACACTCCCAACGGTGATGGTAAGACAGTTAACCGGTCCAAAATCCAGCCATAAAATCCACTCTGCACACTCACTCAACCTTTGTGTGTGTGTGTGTGTGTGTGTGTGTGTGTGTACTCATCTTTTGACACCCTACTACTCTAGTGATTACTCTGTTAGTTCGTTCAAATTTCTAGCTCATTTATCTTTTTTAGTGACCTACTCGGTGGGCTTGTTTGTTTGTTTTCCATTTTTTCAGTGGGCTCATGTTGTTGGTCTCGACATGGATTTTAGAATTTTAAGAATGTCATACATGAAGGTGTTTTGCTGGTTGGGATGGCTGTTATTCTGTTGGCAGATTTGAGACACTAGACGCAGCACATCGTGTGCTGGTGCCGATCATCGTGATGAGAAATCACCGGAGGTACAACCCTCTCAAGGCTGGACACAAACACTCCATTAACATCGAATTCATTGAGCGCGAGGTGAGGAAATGAGAATGTGCATGTGTGAAATCTGGGGATGTGAAAGAAAACGACAAAAAGAAGATAAAAGCAGGTTAAAAAAGATCAACGAAGAGTTCTGTGGATATGTTGAATGTTCGTATTGCCAGTCAAGGCTGGATAAATTTAAAAGAAAAACCTGTTTTTTTTTTATTATTATTATTATTATTTTTTTTTTTAATCTTGTCTTTTGTATCTTTCTGCGATGGTGCATGTTTTGTCTCCTGCCCCTCGTGGTTGTCCCGCGCCGAGTGTGGTACCATCTTCTCCCGAATAGAACATGATGATGTCGTTATGCCCATATTTGGGCCAACTTGCACTGTAGATGCAGGGATAATGACCCGTTGTGGAATGCGCCCTGCAAGCGAGTACTCATGGCCCCCACTGACACAGGGTCATGGAGGACACACTCACACTTATACTCACGATGGACTGATGGTTTTAACTCGTGCGCTATTGGAATCTGCACGTTATTGTAGCAGACAGGCTTGGCGAAGTACAATTTTTTTGCTTTGGCAATTCTGGGTCCGATGGACTGGTGGTCTAACTCCTGCGTGACGCGGTCGGGAGGGTTTCTGGGACCGATGCGCTCAACAGCGCCAGGCCTTTAACACCCCTGCGACTTCCCCTTACCCTCCGCCTTCCCCCATCTCTCTCTCTCTTTGTGTTTCTCTCTCTCTCTCTCTCTGTGCCCCTCTCCCCCTCCCTCCCTCCCCGGCCACCCCCGCCGGATGAGTCGGTGAACGTTAGATCAACGGAATAACCTGTTGAATTTGGCCAAAAAAAAAGACGTAACTAGCTCACTCTCTCTCTCTCTCACACACACGCACACGCATATAGACACGCACCAATACACGACAAAAAGAAAAGAACAAAGAAAGCGCAATTTGGCACCTTCAACCTCCCAACACCCCTCCCCACTGCACTCCTCGACTTCCCCCTAACCCTTGTGCGTTCCCCCTCCACCCATCGTGTCGCATTTCCTCTCATCAAAATCTATGATCCCCCGCTGTCCTGCTGTGCATTCTGCTGCCCTTCGCTCCCCTCTTTTCCCCAATTTTCTTTTTTTTTCCTCCCTCCTCTTTCCGTTCGTTGTCCTCCCCCCATCCCGTTCATCGTCTTCTCGGGAGAACAGTGGGGCGGAAGGTGGACGTGGGCCAGGAACCTGGTCATCCAGCTCGTCGTGCTTCCCCTCCTCTTCCTCTTGCTCAATGTCTTACGTGTCCCGCCGGGCGATGGGACGGGTACTCGCACCTACTTTGGACGTGGGGCAGGAACCTGGTCATCCCGCTCCTTGTGCTTCCCCTCCTCTTCCTCTTGCTCAATGTCTTACCCGTCCCGCTGGCTTTGAGGAGTACTTGCACCTACTCTAGCACCTACTCGCACGTACTCTACGGTCATAGCTTTTGACCAAGTCAAAGTGTGGGGACAAGAGGTCCCCCTCCCCCTCTCCCCCCCCCCCCCCCGATCCTTCAGAGCGGCTCCGGAATGAATGGCAGGGGCAGGCAACAGTGCTATGGTCATGTAATTACTGGTGAATGCATCAGGGGCAAAACTCCACTCACCGAAATCCATTGTTCCTGGCTATAGATGAAAATATCCATTGCCAGAGAAGGAGAATACGAGCAATGTGGGGCTGTCAGAGTATTTTTTTTGTTTATCATGGTCAGATTTGAGCATGGAGTCCTAAAAAGGTTTGACTGAAATCGTTATTGATTTTTTTTTTGCCCTTTTGGTGGAAGAGCAGATTGAGAAGATGGTTCAACCAGGACAGGAGGTGGTGGTGGTGAACGGTCTTTTCAGTCTTCACGACCACGAGCAAATTGCAATGGCCGTTGCCAAATCTCAGAGAAGCATTTCCACGTTCATGAACTTGGGCGACTGGAAGATTCTGATGCAGACTCATACCTTCATGGATGGTCTTGTGTTGGTTGATGTAAGTGGGACGATATGAAACCCTGCACCTTCCTTTTTTCTCGCTTCTCCTCCTCACCATCCTCCTTTTTTTTCTTCCACTTCCTCTTCCTCTTCCGCTTCCTCTTCTAATGGCCTTTATAACCAAACTCCCACACCTTTTAAGCCAAACTTGTCGCCAATCCATAAAGTGGACAGCAAATAAGCTAGCAGCAAAAAAAAACAAAACAAAACAAAAAAAAACTGAAGGAGCCTAAAACACTCCAGACAAAAATGTGTTTTCATGCAACATCCACCCTTTACAGTCTTGCTGCTTTTGCAGGATTTCCAGGATTTTCACGGCTTTCCCAACGGTTATCTCGAAGGGTCCAATGAACACAAAACTTGGAACACACAAACCTTGACTGAAAATAAAGCAGGGCAAAATAAAAAGGCAAGTGAACAAAATTGTCTCCAAATGCCCTTTCAGTGCTTGGAGGGTTAACCTATGGCCTGAAAAGTGGGGGGGCCCTGTTAACCACTTGTGGCTGGGATGTATAGGTCTGCCACGCGAGGACAGATTCACTCATGATAAACCGTGGGACCACTGTAGCAAAAATGGCTGACATGTGCACAGCCGAACTTTGGAAAAGTACTGCTGGTTCACGGTTCCGTCTTTGCACAAATATACACAGAAGAGATCTGTTTTTCAACCTTCTTTCGCTTTCCTCATGTTCGTTTGATGTTTTGTACCTGTGGCGTTACTGATGAGGACGGATGGGACGGTTACGTCCTCAGGTAGCATACGAAGAGAGAGAGGAAAAACGCAAGATAAGACTTTTGAAAGATCGATAAAATATTAAAATCACTGAGGATGTCGTTTTGGGGTGAACCGTCCGACGAAAACACAAAAGAAATCTGTTTGCTTTTAAAAAGTTTTAATGATTGTCAGATGTTCTGAACCTTCGGCGTTGCTGACAATCTTTTTTTGAACCTTCGGCGTTGCGTACGATCCTTTTTTTTTTGTCTGTGTCTGTGTGGGGGGTGGTGTCTTTTCATCTTGTGGTCATACCTATTGTCTAAATACAGGAAATGCGACACTCACCAGACATGCTGGCAGCTGGCCTGTTGGAGCTATCGGATCCTCATCTTTCAGCCGAGTTCTTTAATCAGGAGGTAGGCAAAGGAAATGGAAAAAACGGGGAAGTGCAAGCAAAGGAATACCTAGATGCCTGCCTTACCTCGCTAAGTAAAGGAGTTCTGCTTCTGCAGTAAGTGAATCCACGGGCTGTCATCTCCTGTTCGGGCAAAAATAAGGGTTCAATAAATCGGTTCAAGACCTTCACTTGCAGAGGGGTCGTCTAAAGATCACAGCTAGCATAAGCTAGTCCCGTTTTGTGGCTGTGTGGGCTTTTTCGGAAGTTTTCCCCATAAGCTGGATTTGAGGTTCCTCCATTCGTGAAGGACATGCTTGTTGCCTTTTCATCGTTTGCAATTTTCTTAGCACATGTTGTAAAGGACATGTTGTGAAGGCCACTCTCTCATGTCGTCTCATCCCGGTTTCCAGTTCATCTTCTCTCTCTCTCTCTCTCTTTCTATCTCTCTCTCTCTCACACAAATACACTCCAACCATACCCACAGCATTCAAAGGAATAGGTTCTATCGCTCTCTCTCCCTCTGCCTCTTTCTCTTCTCCCGTGTTCGTCCTGTCTCTACTTTGTCATTGTGGATGCTTCTCTTTCTTCATTATCGCACAAGGATGTCAGCCGCCTTCTTAAACCACCAGTACGTTTGCCAGCCATTTTTCTCGACCTGGCACGCTGCAAGTTTCGGGGTTCGACCTACCGGATCAGAATGGATAGCGGCGCCAGCCAAAAGGAGGCGCTTGCCAGCTTGTTCTTTTTTGGTGCGCAAGTTGTCTCCATGCTCGGCAAGGGAAGGGTCAAAAGTACTGGTGGTTTAAACACTCTTGTTCCTTGTCCATCTCGCTTGCGGCCCCATCGAACCTCCTCCTTCCCCCTTGCCTCCCGCTTGTGTGCAAATCATACCGCAACCCTCCTCAATTCTGTTTCCTTCTCTCTCTAACTCACATTGGGCCTACTGGCCTTGGGACCTTCCTTCCCTCCCCACCGCTCCCCCCCTGTCTCTTATACACATCTAGATGTGTATAAGAGACAGCTGTATATGCGTGAATGTGTCCACGTATCCGCTTT